CAGTATAGCTCAATGGATCGCTGAGGTGCGCAAACCGTCAAATCACGGTAGGTCCAGTCTCTTCGTGACGGCAATGAAAGAACGAACAACCTTAATAAAGAAAGATGCAAACAACTGCGTGACATCAGCTTCTCTGCTGCGGTGAGCCCCATATTATTATATGGATCAGAAACCTGGTCGCTACGCGCTGAGGACATCAAAAGACTTTCAGTGTATGACCATCGATGTCTTCGGAGCATTGCCCGAATCTGGTGGGAACACCGGATCCGCAATGCTGAAGTACGTCGAATGGTACTCGGAAGAAATAACTCACCCTTGATAGATGAACTGATCACACTGCATAGGTTGCGCTGGTTTGGCCACGTGCTGCGTATGCCAGTCGACCGACTTCCTCGAAGGGCTCTTTTCGCAGAACCACGTGAAGGGTGGAAGAGAGCCAGAGGTGGTCAAACAATGAATTGGCAGCGAAGTATAAAAACCATTACCAGCAAACTCAGCTGCACCGGTTATTGCCATCATTCTGGATGGGGACCCCAAGCGGGACCATATCAATGGTTAGAGACATTGTCAGATATGGCCCAGTCACGCCCTCAATGGTGCTTATGCATCCAAGCTATTGCCTTCAATGCATAGCTCCCTTCCCAATCCCCCCACTTGACAGCCCACTGACAGTGCTGGATTTATGCACCAATTTACCATGTCCCGCCTGTAATGCGTACCTACCTACACCCCCCAAATCATCGGTGAACGAAACTGTGGCAGCTACAAAGACTGTATGAGTACGCGGTTATTACAGCTGACAATGATGACGACGTCTCTATTCTAAAAGATGATTCTTCTAATTGACTCACTCTGTAACATAGCATGAGGTCCAGAGGACATGTAGGAGCGGAATCCAACAAACTCCAAGAAAGCCCTGTCGTTCAATCAATTAGAATCGACTGAAAAGTCACGGTTTGAAGACTTGGGAAACAGTCCACCGACATTTCAAAGGCCCAATCGTTGAGTTTCGTCAACCAAACTGATAAGACTTGATATTGTCAGCGTATGCGTGCTATCCAATTTGTTCTCATTAGAGCTGATCAACCTGTCAATCCAACTATTTCCAGTTGTATTCAGCTCGCCAACCGTACATTAAAATCCATAAACAATGGTAGACAATTCGTAGATTGTTGATTTTGATCCGTCAATTCTGTCGCAAATGAGTATAATTCCCAATTTGATCTGGTGTCGACCATCCGGATGACAGGTTACAAAAAACCTACTGTTAAATGCAATCATCCAAGGTCGTTTTTCAGACAAGATTGTAAGCTGTATCATTTAATATTCACTATTCACATCTAGAATGAAAAGGTTTGTAATCTAGCAACTTGAAACTGGTTCAAACTCCAATTGATCAACACCGTGAACGGGCTTTCAGCGGGGAGAGCAAAACTGTATTGGCAGATCAATCTACTCTGAAACCCTATGCTTGACACGTGCCGACACGTCACTGTTTTCCCTTATTTAGACTGGGCGGCCCATTTCTAATATAAGCACCACAACTGGTCAGTTTGAGTCAATAAACATCCCGCACAGACAACACCAAGTCGCATTCATCGTAAAAACAAAAAAAGATCCTTGAACCACTTGAACGCCCTTTTGAAACCACTGATGAGGATGCCACAGTTTGTTTCCTTCATCTCTCTACCCTTTCAAGGGGACAACCGTCCCGCAGACTACGAGGAAATTTATGGGCGAATATCGACCGCTCCCCCCCCCCAACAGGTGACCGGAAACCTCAACAAGTTCGACGATACTATGTTCCCACGATGACCACCTTGTTCCGAAAATAGAAAAGCCCCATGACAACCGATTTCTGGCCAGCTACGGCAAACCGAAGCTTGCTCCTGTGAAAAGGATTGTCCTTACGGCTTTGTGCTGCATTGAATTATGAAAAACGATAACCTAACATTGACTGGCCTATTTGTTCTGGTCGTTGCTAGGACCACTTCAAAGCATCAGTGGACTGAATCACTCCATGACAGCTCGCCTACGTATCACTAATCTTACCCGAATTCACAGATGCTGGCGCCACAATGGGACGTTCCTCACCCTCAAATGTGAAACAGGAACCACTCAATTCAGCATACTTTCTTCCGAAATTAACAGGATGGATATACGAAAGACACACGACCCCGTGGTCCGCTGTGACAAAGTGCCACATTTATCAATCATTTCTAAGTGGTTAACGCACTACCGAAGAAATATATACTTACCAGTAGCTTCTAGCCGAACGATACCTGGAATTGGAGAAACACTAAAATGACCGTCGACATTGTTATGCTAGTGGGGGCGAGATGGCTCAAGTGGTTAGAGCGCGGATTTACTGACCGGAAGGTCCATGGTTCGAACCCGACCTATGCCTCTCGACTTCCCTGTCTAGGCTTGGGCAACCTAGCATTACCCCAGCCCTTGTGTTTCCTTCGGATGGCATGCCAGCTAGGCACCAGAAGGGTGTTACAGCTGAACGATCCGTTATGCCAGTTAACTGTAGAATGATACGCTTATTTTGAATAACAGAAGATTGTCCTGTCGCAGGATGTTACCCACAGCTGCATCCGAGTGCAATGCACGCTGAAGTTGACCGCAAGTTAATCCTACTTGAACCTCCGCGACGTGATCCAACACCTAAGAACTTAGGTTCCTTCTTTATTATATGTAAAACTCCAATATTCTGATTACCCAACCTTCAAGATGCTGAGGTAGCGAGGTGGCTTAATGATTACAGCGTGGATTTGCTGACCGAAAGGTCTGCGGTTTGAACCCGACCTCCACATCTCGACTTCTCCTGGGCAACCTAGCGGTACCCCAGTCCTCGTGCTTCATTCGGTTGACATGGCAGCTAGGCCCCGAAAGATTTCGATTTTTTACAAAATAATGAAAATTAAGACTACCTTCACAAAGTTTGGGATGCAAACTGTCCTAAAAGGGACACTGAATCTTCCCAGTGCCATATTACGGCCGTCACAGAAGGGATGATATCTGACTGACTTCAGCATCGTTCAGCTGTAGCACCTTTTCGGTGCCTAACTGCCATGTCACCAGAAGGAAGCACGAGGGGTGGGATAGTGCCAGGTTGCCCAAGCCTAGACAGGGAGGTCGAGAGGCGCAGGTGTCCCATTAGTGGATTTTCGGTAGGTTATGGGCCGCTTGGCCCAAGCAACATCCACTATTCGATCTTCATTACGGTGTTTCAGAAGGGTTTAAACAGAGGCAGAATAAAGACAGATGAAACATATCTCCGGCTTGGGGGTCGTTAACTTGTCACATAAGAACTAGTTGAACCTTCGCTGAATAAGCAACTACCCAGAAGAGACCACTGTACGCACACCTAAGTCGGCCAAGCCTGAACGTTGATAATTCAAGGTCGTGTTATGGAACAGCCAAGGTTAGCCTGCCTCTCCATATGCAACAAAGAGGGAATACTATATGCCGAATCCAATCTTTTGACTGATTGTCCTTCTTGTACACTCCCCGTCAAGTGATGAACTTGATTCAATGTAATCGGTTTGAATTGCGGACCGATCGAACGCAAGTTAAATATCGCGAGGTACTCAATACCGCCCAGTCAGTTTAGGGAGATTGAATTAGCGCCCTTTTCTATACACTCTGTATTAATGTATTTCGGCAATACACCGCTGTGGGTGTAACCGGAGAACGACGCCGGCATTCAAACCTCATGTGAACATACTTTGGGTCCATGAGTGAGGCCAGAGCAGCTTTTGCCAACCTCCGACACCTATGGCGTGACGTCAGTTTGTCTGTCAAGGGCAAAGTTTAGACTGCGGCAGTGCGATCCATACTACTTTATGGATCAGAGGCGTGACCTCTAAGCACAGAAGACATACGGAAAATATCAGTTTGACCATCGGTGTCCCGAAGCATTGGTCGGGTCTGGTCGGATTAGTAATGTTGAAGTAGGTCTCCCGCAACAGATGAATTCCTCACGCCTGATCGGTTACATTGGTTAGCACCAGGAGACCGCCTGCCCCGCAAAGCTCTTTTCGCCCAGCCCTGTGCTACCTCTAAGCACAGAACACATACGTAAAATATCAGTTTGACCATCGGTGTCCCGAAGCATTGGTCGGGTCTGGTCGGATTAGTAATGTTGAAGTAGGTCTCCCGCAACAGATGAATTCCTCACGCCTGATCGGTTACATTGGTTAGCACCAGGAGACCGCCTGCCCCGCAAAGCTCTTTTCGCCCAGCCCTGTGCTAACTGGAAGCGACCGAGAGGTGGACAGTGTATGACCTGGTAACGAAGTACGAAAACACTAACCGGTAAATTTAGTCAGATCGACAACTGCTGTCTTCCTGGATGACGACCTCGAGTATCAACCCACCAATGGTTAATGACACTGGCAGAAATAGCCCAATCGCGCAGTGAGTGAAGCAAGTGCATCAAAGCTATCGCCTTCGATGCGTAGCTACCCGATTCCCGAAATAATTGAACATGCCATCGTCTCCAAGGCTTGGTCGTATGTCCCACACTCTCCCTCATTCCGGTGCTGGAAACTGTAATAGCTGCAACCAATGCGTCCATGGTACATGGTCTACAGCTGATAAATCGATTGATTCACACCGTCAGTTTAAGAGACAAAATGATAGTCCACCACACAAAAATCAACAATGAGAATGTACAGTGAAATTCACAAAAATGTTTGACGTCTATCATGCGAGGCAAATAACATTTCACACACAGTTGGATGGTTGTTTTTGGTGGTATCTACGGCGTCCACGAAGGTTTGTATCCTCCAAGTAGCAGTCTTCCCTTAAAGTTACAATATATTTTCCCAACACAACACATTTAGTTCAAAGTCTTCTACATATTCGCAGATAAGAAGAGCCTGAAAAGGTCGGACAAAAGATATCCACCACAATCAAACCAATATGAGAACCAAAACAACCGCTCCAACAAAAAGTCGCCGAACAGTGATTGAGCATAATATGTATTATATTCTATACTGGTCGAGAAGAGGACTCAAAGCGGTTACTGAATTTCCGGACCACTCAGATAGTCATCCAGCAGCAGTGAGACAATCCTGTACATACATACGCAGTTAGTTTTGGTCGAGCTATAAGACACACGCACCGGGCGATGGTGAGCAGTAGGCAAACAGTTTTAGACAACCGGAGTTCGAACAGGTGTTTGTACAAATCAATCCCTGAAAATGGGACTGTGTAAGGCACCTGATACTGAATGGTGTCTTTTTCACAGTGGTAACTTGAAGGGAGTGCAGGGTGGAGTTTAGGCATCACATGAAAAATGACAGGAAGGGGTTGACATAGGCTAGTGGGCGCACGTCTGGATGAGGGACTTCCTTGAAACTGGTAAACTCCGGTTTCATTGGTGCAGGTTTTCTTTTGCCGATTAGTGTGATGAAAGCTCCGCGATTGTGCATTGTATCACAATAGTTAGGTGCAGAAAACACCGTGATACAACGGCCGCCGTGTGCGACTTCGTAGCCCTCGTCCTTGACCTAAAAACAAAGTCAAGGATACATGAAGTACAGCGAGACAATGAAACATGGTCAAGCACTTGGTCGTGATACTAACCTGCTCAGTAAGCTGTGCGCTGCCTGCAAGCAGCACCTAGTGGTTTCACACAGACCGTTTGGGACTATTCAACTACACACAGGCGTCAAACAGTTCAACGTGGACCACCGTGTAGCCTGGCTGTATGCTGAAAGAAATTCGACGATGGTGAAACTATTAATGCCTAGAACCCAACTGCATTTACACATTGAGAGAAGTTGTGCTTGGTTCTCAGTTAGCACAACAGTCTCGTCAGAAAACAGAAACTACTGAATGGCGTCCATCCATCCTGTTCCTTAGACTGAGGTGTTTAGGTAAAGCGGGAAGCGGAGCCAGAATGAAGGGCGAGAAAACCCAACCACTACACCACTGAACACTACAAGGGAACCGAGTACGCTACGCATGACCGCTGAAAACTAGGTCCTGGTAAAGAAATAAGACAAACTGCTCCTTGACAGCGGATTTTTGCGGAGTGCTCACCAGAATATTCCTGTTGATTTGAATGTACTACTTGAGTTAATCACTGAAATTCTGAAGCAGATCGAACCTCGGTACGAGAATCATGCGATGAGAATCGTGCCGTTTTGCGTTTTGTACGACCGAGCCAGCCCTCTAAGAGGAGAGGATTCTACAGTGACTTCCATATGCCTCAAAGGGATAATGAAATATGCACTTTTAACGTAATTCAAATGTAATTCGTAAGAAGAGGAGTACTTTTATGCTATTCTGATACATATTTCAAGTCACCTTACCAAGATGAAGTTCAAATTTCATGAAAAATCTTCTACCCACTTGCTGTGACTTGAAAAAAACACAGTATACGATTCCCAAACAAACTTCAAGCATTTACAGCCAGCGATGAAGATATGGGAACATACGTTCTTAGTAGCGGGAATTGGAAGATTTCTGTCAACATGCGACAAGTCCCGACAGAGATCAATCCTACAATTAATGAGAACACAACTGATCGATTAGAACAACACTGTGTCATCTCGTTGAGGAAAGCTCTACGGCACTTTCGACCCGTTTCTCCTGAAACTTCGATGAAAGTGTGCGAAAGAAATCAGACTCAAAATTCTGCATTCAGAACCTGCATTCGGAACAGCATGCATTTTAACTCTTGCACATTCAATGTGCTAGCATTCTCGACATGATCCTAATCGGGTACAAACCAGTCAGTAATACCTTCAGCGGTAAAAACCTCGTACTTCCTGTAAGGAGATTATGGCTTCCACGGTTCCGTGGGGAAGCAGGCGGCGGTGGCTGACATAATTGATGCGTAAATACACAAGTGTCAGTGGAGCTTTTGGTGACGAGGTGCAAATCGATTCTACAAGCTGACCGGTCCAACACCTTCACAAGGCGGAAAAGAAACCAACTCTGGAGAATGTGAAGGGCGTCAAACGCCCCGTCGTCCTGCCCAGTCCGCCGAGCAATATTGAAACTTACAGAGTCTAGACGTGCAAAAAAAAATAGTTTCACTAAACGCCTAGTGCTGGTAATTTGCTCGCTTATTAACCTGGCAGGGTTTTCAGATCGCAAAAAAATGAGGATGTGAATACCACACAACACTTCTTATCTTGAGCTGGAACTTCGAACACCGTCTCACACCATCTGTCTGTTACAGACATCGTGCCTTTACAGTGCGGTAGCGTTGATTCGGAGTATTGTCTCAGATAGCGAATGCAGCAAATTGGTAATGGCGACTGTTCAAAAAAGATTTCATCCCGTCAGTAAAGCCAATCTACGTGGAAAAGTCGAGAAGCAATGTAGAGAATGTGCCAGCTGCATAGTGCTTCTCGGCTTTTCCGCGCAGATTGGCTTCACTGATGGGATGAAATTTATATTGAATATTACCAAATTTCCTCACAGTACCATATTACTGAATGGTTAGTTAGACCACGATATGCATCTACAAGCATTGGAATACTTAAAAGCCATGCAATGTGATGGGCAAACATGAGGGTGAGATAGTTGAACAGGACACCATGACGTTTCATATCTCACATCATCCGTGACTGACCTCTGCTCCGTCTTGTGAGCGTGGTGGATTGGTCGTGCCTTTAGTGATGGTCTCCACCCAACTGAAATGCCCCAGAATAAGCTAGCACCGAATATGGACAAACAAGTCTACGACCCCAATAATCGGTTTTTTTATTGCCCTGGAATGTTATCCACATGCACACAACAGAAAATAGAATCTAGCTGTCTCTCGACGACATCACGCCATCGCACCACTTTACAGTTTAGGTATACTTATGCCAGTTGATTTTCTTGTGAAATTCAAGGATTAATTTCTCATGGGGCTTGTCATCTGCTGACGAATAATCATTCGAATCCATCAAGTGAACAACGAGTGCAGCTGAAAGGTGAGCAATCCTGCGGAGTATGGGTGTACGGATTCACAGTCCAGGCATCAGTCAGGGTGTGCAGGATTTTCAGGAACGCCCATAAAAAAATTCTGCACACGTTGACATGAGGTTGATGCAACCCTGTACGATTTCACCTTCCACGGAGAAGTGGATGTTGTCGTACTGTCCGTTTGGGCAAGTGAGGAACTACGCCAATTGCATTGACCAGGTACGTAGTGAGTGGATAAACTACCATGAGTTTTGTTTCGATTTAGTGAAAAGCAGATTAGCGAATGTGGATGTTATTGAGACGTCAATCACTACACCGCTGGACAAAGTCAGTACCATTCAAATACCGAATGGAGGTAAAAAAAAATACCGTCCAGCTGTAGCCCCTTTCGGTGCCTAACTGCCAGGCCGCCCGAAGGAAGCACGAGGGCTGGGATACTGCCAGGTTGCCCAAACCTAGACAGGGGAAGTCGAGTGGCGCAAGTCGGGTTGGAACCGCGGACCTTCCGGTCAGTAAATTCGCGCTCTAACCACTTGGGCCGTCTCGCCCTAAAATGGAGGTAAGGAATTCCTTTGGGTTAACGAGTCATCTGTGATTGGACCTGAGTCAAGCTACAATGAGCTCACTGAAAGTGGTATGCTGGTGTTGAGGGACATCGCATCTAAAGTAAGTGCAGCTCACCAACAAATCCAGCAGCAACGCAAATGACTCCAACAATGTCAAAAACGTCACTAATAGCGTTTTGAGAACGTGTGTGCAGCTGAAGCACCCTTTCGGTGCCTAGCTGCCACGCAACGCGAAGGAGGCACGAGGGCTGGGACAGTGCCAGGTTGCCCAAGCCTGGACAGGGGAAGTCGAGAGATAAAGGTCGGGTGAGAACCACGGACCTTCCGGTCAGTAACTTTGCGCTCTAACCACTCGGTCCAGGTGATTTAATCCACTTTCGGTCGGAGCGCTACGTCATGTCTGCGTGTCTTGAGAAATAATTGAATCTACCTGGTCTGTTGTATTCGGGCAACAGATTGTTTGACCTAGGGTTTGAGCTCTTGCGGCTATCCGTTAACCTTCAGGTTGGCCTTGCTTGATATAGAGCTTCTTTGGATTTTCAATTTTTGCATGTGACGTGAAGTCGTAAGGACTGGGACTAGGTACATTTGCACGTCACGAGTAAGTTATCGCAGAGCCTATCTCACGTTGTCAATTAACAGCGAACGGTGAAGGTATGCTGTTTTAACACACCTAGCTTTAGCTACATTCCTTTGGATCTCCCCTCCAAAGATAAACTACTAAACTAAACGCCGTTGTTGTGAAACTTCCACGAAACCACTATCTAAAGAAATATTGGATCACAACTAACGATGATTAGTCCACAGAAGAGATTATTTCTCTCCCTTGGTTGTTAGACAGATGATAGAAGTTAGCCATGGCAGTTGCTCTAGCTCACATGATACATGGAGTGGATATTGCTGTCGACCCAGGAATGTGGAACGAGATATAAACTGGCGAAGTATTTGAAACAGAATAACCAGCAGAATTTCTTTTTTCATTGTTTCTGTTAGGCAAAAACTCTCCCCAAAGTACACATGGTACACATGCACATCCAGTCACTCTGCCCGGTCGTTACAGGGGAGGTTGTCAGGTAGAACTAGCACTGAACCACTGAAAACCATACTTCTGAACTTAGTTGCATATGTATGGACAAATATACAAGTCCTTTGAAATGGAAAACAAAAAAGCGAACCATCATTCGCTACTGATGGAACATTGCAACAATGTTACGCCCATACAAACCTCCAGATGCAATTCACGCGTGTTTCCATACCAAGCATTCATACATACGTCGGGATTCATCTTGTCTGACCGGAATTCTTGGTGGCATGGCTTCAAATGAAACGCTTCTCTCTTTTAATCTAACATTCTCCTATAACCCTCCCACATATATCGCCTGCATTTGCTTTTTGTGTCTGTGACCATGCTCTTCAAAAATAAAAGATAATTATAGAGAACAGCTACTCGTTTTTGTCGTCTATCGGCTGAATTCCTCATAAAGTAGCCATCATTTTCTCTACTGTTCCAGGTCACTTCTTCTTAAGGCACAGAACTTAAATACGGAATACAAGTGATCAAACCAATGTGCAGACTGGTGAGGCATTCAACCACATCTGAATACATGCACTTGTATAATACGCCCTCCATCTAGCAACTCTCAGTGTGATGAAATCTTGTTAAAAACGGACGGTAGCTATCTCCGTGGATCGCAGGCTAACTTTTCTTGCGTGCATTTATGTTTATACCAATTCCAAGCATTGTAAGATTTACGACAGTTTCGAAAGAAAAACAGGCACATATTGTCGAGCTGAGTAGGTATTCATGTTTCGGAGATGGATGCGAGCGACGTGAAAGATCACATGGCAGCTTTTGGGACCGTGGTTGCCGTTGCAGGAGCCGTTGTTATGTGGAGAGAGTAACTAACAAACATTTGTTGGAACTGAGCACAGTAGGAGTCAGCACATTTGTTGCATTATCGCCAGTGCTAGTTTTGGGGGCGAGATAGCTCAGTGGTTAGAGCGCGAATTTACTGACCGACCTCTGCCCCTCGACTTCCCTTGTCAGAGCTTGGGCAACCAGGTAACCTCATGCTTCCTTTGGGTTGCATGGCAGCTCGGCAACGAAAGGGTGTTACAACTGAATGATTATCTTCTCTCATTTTTTCCACTGCTAGTTTGAGGGATTTTCCCCAAAAGCAGCCGAAATAATGTAGAAAAGGAGGGCGATTTCATACACATACCTAGTTCCAAAGGTCGGATTGTGTAACTATCAATCATCACTAATCGACCTGCTTGGTGGGGATGTAACAAATCGAATGATAGGCCCTCGAAGTGCTTTAGCCGGCTACAGGTGCCTCTCACCCAGTTCTACCCACCCACACCAGTTCTACACCCACACTTCAGCGAGATGATCACACCTCCAATAAAATTTAGGCCTGTAGTATTTAGCTGGTCTTATGAACGATACTTCCGAAACATCTACGAACCCTTACTCTTCATGCAGTATCTTGCAATTCAGGTATCACACCGCACATCAAGCTGGACTAGGTGCTAGCTCTCCAACAGGAGAAAGAGACGCGGGTGAAGTATTTGCCAAATATGAGCAAGAAAGGGGGAGCAAGCAAGGAGGAAAACCTTAACCACAAACCTCGTGACTCCGAATGATGTAGTCCAGTCCATTGGCTTTACAAAACCGTTCGGTCACGTCCGGACCGAACTGACAGCCGATACCTCGCTTCGATGGAGATCGTCCGTTCCCTTCCATTGGATCAGACCACAGAAGTTCGCACATTGGGCTGCCTTCTGGAGGTTGACGGTCCCTGGAGATTTTACGTATATCGTCTAGCGTTACGTCATCGTTCGAAAAGAGACCACCATGCATAACCTGATGGGAACAGATGCACCAGAATGAATGATCTTTGGGGGAAATGGATACGAAGGTTTCCACTCACTGTGTGGGTGGGTAAGGGTTTACAAGTACATAGCTTAGTGTCGGTTAAGGCTAGCTATACACTAACGTGTAACACATCCACAAATCAGAGGACAAATAGATTGTAATTAGCGAATGTCACGTGACTGCCGCCAAGCTATTACAATGAATACAACTCATCGCAACCCCCAACATCATCACCAACATTGAAAACAACACTGACCGCCAACTACCAACGAAGGAAGAATTACGTGTGACCAAAATCTAGTGTACCCAGAGGAACTGTTTGGTCAGATTTTGGTAGAAACAAACTCGTGCTAACATCGAATGATTCTCGGGTTTCTCGAACTGTTCACACTGAACGGCACCAACCGCCAAATTGACGCGTTTGAAACCAATTACAAGACGACTGAGTTGTAGTACCAGAAGCAACGATTAAAACGAAAGAGACAATCACCTAGGTTCAAACGAGACAAGCCCTTTTCGGCACTGTTCTTGTGTCTGGAAAGATGCCCCATGCGACTGCATTCAACTTAATCTAGTTTTTCTAACCCTTCTCCTGATTTTCTTACAGCAAAGAGTCAGCTACTTATGCCGTACGGAAGAACTTAGTTTATTCTCTCCAAGCAACTTCATGGCTAGAAACTGAGCGGGAGGTTGCCTGTTCACCTCCTCCTTCACAGATTCATATGAACGCGTAATCACCAACTCCGTATACAATTCATTCCAAGAGTTGGAAGAGTTGAAAACTGCCAGAGTGGTTGAGATTTCCCCGCGAAAAGTTGAACACTTCGTATGCAGTGCTGCGGCGTTCCTGACCCAGAAGTGGAGTGACGCGCCCTTCAAACCGTCCAGAGAGAACATGAGATTTGGGAACTTTCATCTGCAGCTAGACTATGCAGCGAAATGATAGATGGATACAAAAACGCAGGAGCATTTAACACACTGGTGAAGATATCACGGTTCCATCTACATGGTGCTGAGTCCCGAGGACCTATCAGCCGTCTTTGCTGATGGGTCGAATTTTTTGCGAGTGATGAATTGGTAGATGTTTGCTTCCGACTTTTCATTTGTTCCCAACTGTCGATCCACAATTTCTTACTTAATCTTGCTTATCCCACTCATCAATGATCTTTCTAGCGTCCAAGGTTTGTCCACCGGTCCGCGGCATGCTCGCTGTTCCATCTGATGGCATGTGTGTAGTTTCCATCTAATCCATTCTAACCTCAACCTTGTTGATTAGCCAGTCAGGTGATCTTCATTTAGTTAAATATTTGACTAACACACACACATAACCACTAGCCCACCGCTACGCACCACTACGCTCGCCTCGATTGATGATGAAACGTTGGCAATCGAATTGCCCAGCTCAGCAAACAAGCCAACGACCATATTTGACTAAATCTACCTCTGAATACGGTTGGTTCTTCGTTTTTTAGCTGATGTTTTTGGTGTTCCGAGTCGTGTTATTCCGTAATATTCATCAGAAGATAATATTGGTTGCTTTTCAACGGGATTTACCAGGTGTTCCGCTTTACCTAACACCATTCGAAATGAGGGTGTTGCGATGAGCCTCCACAAGCAAGATGTGGGAATTTACCGCAAACTAAACCCACTGTTTATCGGGATTCAACGTGTCGCGCAGAAACTCTAGTGTCACAAACCGCAAGCTAATATGCATCCTTGTAGAGAATTCGAATAAATTCACGATAACCCAGTAATCCGCTTTAGCTGTGGTACATCACTAACAGAGGGTGGATAGTGCACTGGCTGAGCAATATTCCGTTAGGTTTGCATGCACAACTATTCCTAGTAATGGAAGAATGGTTGTCGTATCGTCTTTGTGATCCCCCGAATGTGGCTCGAGCATATCCACAAGCTTCGATATTAGCACTGGCATCAACTGAAGTCTGTGTAACTCGTCACCGGGTTGGTAGGTAGCTGCGGGTTACAGTGGTCAGTCGGCTTCTGGGTCAAGGGCCAGGGCTGAGCCTCCGAATTATCTCATTGAATGCGCTTAAGCGCCTTGGCCATCCCCGGCAACTATGGCCCAGAAGGATGCGCATCAATTCGCATGAAGAAACAGAAACCAAACTAAGAGAAAAGGTGGCGCAAAAGACAAAGCGAAACACAGGTCGCGTCAGTGTCTTACCAGTATTCGCTCATTGATCAGATGGGAGAGTGGGAGCCAGTTGAAAAGATCAGTGAAAATGTCAACCATTTCCATAGAATACTTAGACTTGACTTCTCCCTCGAATCCGTATAACCGGTTCATATTTTCCGATTCGTGATTTCCTAAGAACAACACAAGCATAGGAATGTGGTTAGAACGTCAGTCGAAATATAACCCCTCTCCGTCGGGTGGGGTAAGAAACTCACCTCTGGAAAGATAGAAATGTTTTGGATAGAGGAGTTTGAAGCCGAAGAGGGTGAAAATGCATTCGACAGAGAATGAGCCACGGTCAACAAAGTCCCCGTTGAAAAGCTGGGATAGTTAGTAAGATACACGTGATCAAAAGATGCAAGGCCTACATAGGGATTCTCCTTGCTCGGAAGTCCATTCAGCTCAAATATATTCATCAGATCATAAAACTGGCCGTGAATATCACCACACACAGTAAATTTCGTATCCTGCGTTGAAGTGAAATCGGTCGTTTGTGTGAAGCCGTCAACTTACTTCTGGTATATCAATGTCTACAAGACTGGGCAGGTTGCGTAGAAGTTGGTCAATCTGTTTCAGTATCTAAAATGAAGACAATAACGCAAGTTAGTCAGATTCAAAGGGGTTTGTTGGGACAGTGTGAAGTGGAATCTAGCGATCTAGCTAACGCTGCTTGAAGTCTGGGTTAGTAGTGAATTAGCCGCAAAGTAGGGAGTGGTCCAAGCACCGGACTTGTGAAGAAGCGATTCACTTTTGTCTCATGCAGTCGTTGAACTATTGTCAACCCCTCCAATGAGGCATTCACTCGAAAATCAAACAACCAAATACTTGGTCAGCGAATGACACCTTAATTGTTGAACTACCCCAGGTTTTTGTTGCTGATGAACCGAACAACTAAACACAGCGTTTGGGGACGCTACTAGTCTGGATCCATAAGACAGCTTTCTAAAAGTTTTCACTTTCAATGCACTGGCCTCAGTTTCCAACAGCTCGTCATATGTAAAACGGAAAGAGCTATTCGGAACAATTGTTCCGTTGCACACAAATGGTGAAGACGCTACGGAAGAGTAAAGTACTTCTGGTCTTCTAGCATCCATCTCAAAGGAAGACTTAGCCCGAGCAGTGGGAAAATCCAAGTGCTGTAATCTGACATCAAGTCTTCACCCTTCGTTATTTGTTTGATCATTGTCAAGCGCACCGTAGATAGAACATTATCATATTTCTGAGTTCCAGGGTAACACTTGAATCTGCGGAGCGAAAGACTTCGTACGACTAGTTGCTAAATAGTGGAGTGTTCAGCTGTAGCACCCTTTCAGAGCCTAACTGCCATGCCACCCGACGATTGCACGAGGGCTGGAATACTCCCAGGTTGCCCAAGCCTAGACAGGGATAGTGGAGTACCTGAGAAATATGTGCGAACCTAGAGGTTTGGGTTCATCACCGTGTCCACTGAAGTGCCGACAAGCTGCCTATCTATCCGCTTTTTGAGGACTGTGACCGACGACACTTTGGAAGCTAACCCAAAGGATTTGTTAAAATTCTTCCCAGAGAAGATGACTGACCTGGAATTTGCTGGCGACACAGCTCTAGGTACCAATAACATTTAGGTAGTACTAACCAACTAAGACCAACTGAGAGTTAAGGTGATACATGCTAACTCTTTCAAAATGCAGTTTACTACTAAAGGACCATTGGGGCCTGTCCCACTTCAGGAGGTAATGTTTGAACTAGTCAACATATGCGTCTACTGAGGAAGTCACATAGCTACGAAATCGGTGATAGAGGTGACGCGACATCCATGTTTAACTGGAAGGCCAGTGTGTTAAAATACCACGAGGCTTTGCTGATATAAATCCGATCAATTAGGTTAAGTGTTTGAAAATCGGCAAGGATTTCATCCTTCAACAGGTTTTATATTGAAAGCGGGAACCAACCAACCCAAACCCCCAAGGCTTCGTTAACAAGAACTGTCTGCTCAGAGAGGAAAACGCAACGCATGCCTGACGAATTACCAGTCGATGTACCCATCAGCACCAAACTACGCGGCATGAGATAAATGAGTAGCGTGGCAGAGATGTCATTACCGACAGCACACAATGCCGGTGATTCACCGCTGCAAAACAACAAGTCGTACTACATCCTGTAGAACACTACTCAGTCAGATTGCTCGCTATGCACCAGTAACCACATGCCATGATAACTGACCAACAGCCCGAAGGACCAATTTTGAATGCCCCTAGAGACTCATGGGATACGCATCGCATGTCAAAAAAGATCAAAAGTTCATGAAATGCTCATCTGCTGTTCACCGGCGGGACTCACAACAGTAACCAGCTAAGAGGGCCTTCCTTCCCAAATAAGGCCATCTCCCCACACAGTCCAAGCAGGCATTTTCCATCAGATTTTAAAAGGACTTCTTGCCGTTGGAGAGGTCATCTTCTAGCCCTTCGAAGTCCACGATTTTCTTCCCCGAATAACGACTCTATCTCCCAGGTAGAAGGCAGTGAACCACATGATCTAACGCAAGATACAGGAAATCCCACCTGTCTCAAGGATTGGGCTACAATTATGGATGAGCTTAGTAAGTAAACCAGGGCACATCCGAAAACACCCTAAAACAAGTTTAACGAATCCAAGTCCAATTTCAGAAGCCTTAGTCCATCGTTAAATTGCAAACAATAGCATCCAGTTCCTAATTTCTAATAGTATTCCTTTGAATTGTCCGGCTGAACATCGGTATTCGTTTTAAAGCTGTACGTCGTGGAATAATTGTGCACTAAATGGCGTCTTGTATGCCATTGGGGATGGCACAATCAACGACTCCAACGCACCAGTTGGCGTCTGATTGCAAAAGGATGGCGAAGAACGCTCTTGTAAGCAGAGAAAGGTGACCCTGCAAAATACTGCAGGCTTCTGTAATTATTCGAAGTCAGTTTCACATCGAAGCATCGCGATTACAAACGGGGCTTTAGAAAACGTCATGAAAACGGGCAAGTAAAAATGATGTTTGTTTTGAGTAACAACCGAAACCACTAAGATACGAGGTGATCCGTATGAGTTTCACCATATTTAGACCAGAAGACAAACTTAACCGTCGAATGCAGAGTATTTTGCACAAGCTTCAGGGAAAATTTCAACGAAATGGTACGGTGAAGTGGGAATGGAGTCCATAAACCTGGGCCCCTAAAAGGAGATCGCAGTTCAGGATGCTCGTGAATGGTTGACTCGTCCAAAAATCAGTTTGAAACCTGGACCACTGGGCTGTACTAAGGGGGGTGTCCGCGCTACACTCGCAATCTCTCATACCAGGTTGGTCAACGGTTAAAGGTCTGACAAACATAGTCTCCTGGTCCTCCAGGTTGGGACTGGGGGCATGTGTGATGACTTGTTCCGTAAAATCGGCAATGTACTTCCATTTACAGCCCAACACCGCTGCTTCGTGTTTAGGCTTTTGAGCCAAAGGCTTTGGTTAAGGACCCCAATCGTCCTCTTGTCTAGGTGTGGGGGCCATGGCAGTATCCTAGCTCATGTACAACCATGAATTGTCATGGATGTACGGCAGTCAAGCATCAGGGTTGAAACTGATGTCATGCTGTCACTGGTGATGATGATGATTTTATGATTTCATCTTACATATTCATCTGAACGGAAGAAAAAGTGACGGCGTATTGGTGCGTACTGAAGTGAAACTGTGGCGAAGATCGCTGGTGACCATTCAAAACACCACGGTTATTACAAAGAGAACACTAAGCAATGAGCTTCGTACAAGGAAGTGCTGTCCAAACAAAAGTACATAAGTAGACTACTCTGAGGCACACACATTCCAAGATAATCAGTGAAACTTCCAAACGAACTGGCGTGCTCGTTATTTAACTTACAATCATCGCGTATTTCTTATGTAACTTCTTCTGTGCCTTGTAATGTTCTATCAACGCTAGCATGAAGGATTCTGTGACAACATAGTTTCCCATTTCATCTGATTCAAGATGGGGACCATCGTAAGATGGTTCAACAGTAACGGATGCCGGGTCAAAGGATGTTAAAGCTGACGCCTTGTCTTCAACCGCAATTGCTTGTTCAAAAAGGCGTCGACGATAAATCTTCTGACAAGCAGTGTGCTTCGCCCGAGCTGTTTTGTCCTGTGGAGCATTGCGTAGTACCTGTTGGGAAACAGGAGAGATGGTAGCTAAGATGATGTCCCGCAAGAAAAGTGGAGGCCTCGAAAAGGTCATTGCGTGTTCCCAACGCTCATTAAATAGAAAAGTGAGCATATGGATGATTAGCCATAAGGGCTTGCAGATTACTGAACACCTTCGTACCTTCAGGGTAGGATACCACTTGACAAAAAAGGAAGTATTCTGAAACATGTCATCCACTCAAATGAAAGGCACATGCTAACATGGTTGAGAATGTATACAGAAAAAAGTAAGTTTATGTTAGCATACACCTAACATTACCATTACGGCTGACAGTAACACTAGCGTGGGATTCCAGCACCAGTCGATTATGCACCCTCTGGAATAGCGAGACTGCTTCGAGTAACCAACAAGTGTGGTTTTCCTTGACTTGAAAGCTGTCGTTGGCTGTGGACCGTTATGAACTATGACAGTGTATATGGAGCAAAGGTGTCCCATATAAATTCTTGGTCCTCGTTAAGGCCCTGTACGCCAACGCCGGTGGACGCGTGAAAGTTTGGAAGAAGTTCTCGCCTTAGTCCTATAGACCAAGTGGAATCAGGCAGGATTTTCTTTTTTCACCTTTAGCTTCGTCATTGGTATGATCATGAAAGATGCTTCTAATATCTGTGGGGTGTAAATACTCCCACGATGCTCGCTCACGGATATCGACAGACAGCATAGCTATTTCTGGATCTGATCTCATCGCAATACAGGCTATATTAGATAACCTGAATAATTCTGCCCCACGTAGCGCTTCATACGTGCAAACTGCAGTGCTGTTCCAAGGCTGGGTCGGTTAGAACCCAAACCGCAAGCTTATGGATGAGCCGAATGAGATTGTAGACAAATTTGTCTACTTGGACAGGTGTATCATTTCCGGCAGTCCAACAAAAGACGAGATTTCCATCCTGGTCGGGAGTGGAAGAGTGGCTTTTGTTAACTTCTATTACTTGTGAAGCAGGCATGCATCATGTATCACTCAAGGTGAGTTTGCAAAGCTGCGGCGCGCTGCATGAAGTTACAAGGAACAGATACCTGGCCATTGTGCGCCGACGGGGCCAAAAAGCTGTGTTTTCCGGTGTTTTCCGAGCATCGCTTCAGTGTGGTTGGGACATCGTATCAGTAATACTGAAGTGCGTAGGGCGGTTTTCGAACAAAATACCCCGCCCACAGTGGGTTGACTTCAGTAGGTTGTGCTGGCTTGGTCACGTGTTCCGTATGCCAGTCGACCGGCTTCCTCGAACAGCCCTTTCCGCACGGCTAAACAGAAAACGAAAAAATCATAAATAATCGTTTAGCTGTAGCACCACTTCGGTGCCTATCTGCAATGCCAGCCAACGGGAGCACAAGGGCTGAGATACTGCACGGTTGTCCAAGTCTAGACACGAATAGTCAGGATGCCAGAGTTGGGTTCGAACCACAGATTTTCCGGAAAGCAGTCTCGCGCTTAAACCGCTGGGCTAGCGTGAGTACAGGGAAGGCCAAGTGATGACTCGACACCAAAGTATAAAAAGTCAGTACCAGCAAAATCAGCTGCCCTGGTGAATGCCATCCCTCTGGATGGGGACCATGAGACAGGCTCACCATTGGCTGCAATGGCAACGATGGAAAGAAACTGGATATCAATGCAATGTGGCCGTTCGTGTACCTCTACGATCCACTGAGCCATACTGAGAGGCTCCGCTTTGACGCAAGCAGTTTCTCACACCAAATAAGTCAGTACATAGAGTTTTGACGAGCACAGTCACGTGGCCCTCCACGTGCGTGGTTTGAAAAGCCACGTCGAATTGCTCCTTGAAAATATTGTAGTATTGTATTTGTATGCCAGTACCCGCCTGCTGCCTTGCTGTCAAGCCTTTGAGCCACAGGCTTCGATTAGAAGCCACAACCACCCTCCTGCCTAGGTGTTAGCATTCTGATAATATCCATGAATGCCACATTGAAAGTCGCGTGGTGTCATCGGCCGGGTCGTTTTACTTGCTGCATACAGCAGGGCGGATAAGCGAAAACAGGCTACTGTTGACGCATAGTCCCCCTTCCACCCTACTCCATCCGCAGGTCCCAGCACTAAAACCGCATTGTTCGTTACGCATCACATTAAGCTGCAGCGTCTATGCATCTGACTTCACACTCAACCTGAAATACATCGAAGTCTGTTTTGAAACCCCAAAATCCAGTCTACTTAGCTGACTCTGATGTTCGAACAATGAAGCAAGTAGGAGGATAAGCGGTTCTTGTATGTACACTGGATCCCACCTGCACTGACGTATGTTGTACCGTAGCTGAACTAACTGCTACCTTGCTCATTCCAGGTTCCAGCTCCGCACCTCTGGTGCTGAGGAGGCCGCTACAGTTGAGTGTGCCGGCGTGGGCATTGTCTTCAGTGATCGAACGGAGGCATATCTAGTCGCGTGGATACCCGTTGATAGTTGCCCTTGCGCGGTTCGTCTGAAAACGTGTGCATCTCGAGAAAATGAGGTCCATCGCACTCCGTTTATTGCCTGCTTACGTCCCAACGGACTGTAGCTCTGAATCTTTAAAGAACAGTTTCTATGATGCTCCAAGTGCTTTCATAAAACGGGCTAAAAGCTCACACATATGTGTGATTGCCGGTGTCGCGAATACCCAGGTAGGTAGACTGCATACTGCTGAGGCCCAAATAGGTGGTTGTGTTGGGTTGAACATGAGATACATATACAATATAGCCCCTGATTCAGATGTGTGTGGATCATGAGCAGGTCCTTTGGAGAACCAATTTGCGGAGCAGCGTGAATCGTTTGACAGTGTTGGCCACCGAAGAGCCAGCCCGAATCCAAAAGGACCACGTTGTCAACATTTACCGGCGAAGTGGATCACAGCCTGCCGCTCATTCTGGGATACTTGCGTGGACTACAAAAATGCATTTGTCTGCATCTGTTTTTCAGCGCGTTTTTAGGCCTACGCGAATCGCACTCATCTCGCTCGGCCATTGAGAAGCTCATGGACCCAGAAACCAAACAAACAGAACCGGCTCCTCCAAAGCCTGTCGGTTGGTCTAATGTGGGATGTAACAGACACTGGAAACAGATATCCAAAGTGCTGCTGAGAGCCGGAACACTGAGGTGCAACCCAGCTAACTGCATCCACGCGCCGAATCTGACAGGATTGTGGCTACATTGGAGCTTTACTAGTGGGTAAGAAAGGCCAAAGAAATGGAACAACGATTCAAACATCCGCAGGCGGATCCATTTGGTTCGCTCGGCTGATCCTGAGAAGCCCCTTGTCAAGGAAAATACCAGGGACCAAAATGGCCCTCTGATGCCAAGCAAAAGAGGACGTTTGGAACGTTTGGCGCAAGATTTCGAACGAAAATTCAGTTGAAAACATGCTACCTCCAACAGTCACAAGGAGACTGGATCTTCCCGTAGTGTGGCGATTTGTGTACCTCGGCGACCCATTGAGCTATACTGGGGGTGTACGCGCGACACCTAGAGTCTCTCACACGAGGTTATTCAATGGGCAAAGGTCTGACGAACAACGTCTCCTGTCCCACCAGGTTGGAGTTTGAACATGTGTAGCGACGTGTTCCGTAAAAATGGCAATGTACTTGTACTTCCAGCCCAACACCGCTGCCTTGCGGTTAGACTTTTGAGCCAAAGGCCTTGGTTGAGGACCCTAGTCGCCCCCTGTCTAGGTGCGGGCGTCGTGGCAATATCCCAGCTTTCGTATAGCTAAGTTACGGATGAAAGTATACTCGCGTCACATCGGCCGTTGCGGGGTGCCATCAGCCGGGTCATCTTACTTGCTGGTTAGAGCGCGAATTTACTGACCAGAAGGTCCGTGGTTCGAACCCGACCTCTGCCTCTTGACCTCCCCTGTCTAGGCTTGGGCAACCTGGCAGTATCCCAACCCTCGTGCTTCCTTCGGGTTGCATGGCAGCTAAGCACCTGAGGGGTGTTACAGATGAACGATGTTTTTCTTGCTGCATGCAGCAGGGCGGGTAAGCGAAAACATGCTACCGCTGACGAATCCCTTCTTACACTTTCACGTTTTTCCTCTCCGATTCTCCCACCACCCAAAGCTGAATACCTTCTCTGCAGGTTCCAGCACTAGAACTGATTGTAACTCCAACCCAGACTGTAGGCCTTCAACAGAAACCAGACTATGAACATGAATTCCTCATCAGACCAAGTGTCCGAGTGTAAATATCTGCTCGAGCGTCATCGTGCATCTGATAGTCATTCACCCGTTCTGCTCAAGTAAACTCCTTAACCAGTGCCCGTCTAGTCTATTCACGTCGATATGGGTGAAAGGGAACCATTCCACATAAGTGGAGTTGATAGTATGGCCTATTTTTAGAAAGGCTATACGCGGGGAATGTGGTAAACAAAAGATTAATTTAAATCCCGTTGAAACAAGGTTTCTGGGGGCACTGATTATTCGTTTCAGGGTAGCACGCGGAACTTGGATCCGTGAGCACCGAGCGGGATTTCAACCGGGTAGATGTCCTTCAAATCTTTACACTTCATTCGAAAACACTAAGGTTGTGGAGAAGTTTACATGCCTCGTTAGATGTATTGGGTGTATAAGGTCCCAAATAACCTTTGCCAATACGCGTGACCTGTGGCGTCCAAGAGAGTCACGTGTATACGGCTACATTAAGGACTGTGTTGTTATGTGGTTGTGATACATGGTCCCCGCGGACACAGGATGAGACTTTTCCTAGGGCTTTAACATCGACGTCTCATAAGTTTTTGTTATAATTGGATTGAGCAGGCGAACTCGTAACGAGAAAATTAGAAAACGGCTATCCGGTTGTAGGGCAGGCGATTTAGTCACGGAATACATCGGGTATAATGAATAGCGGTGGTCCGGACGAGTTCAACGCACTCCTAAATAGCGCCAACCGATACAAGTGTTGCGCTCCATGTCTCCTTCAGAATGGTGGACGTGCGACTTGGTATACGGGCGTGAAAGAGCTCGCAGAGTTTGGGGGCTGTTGGTGCGGTCCGCCTTCCAGAATGGTTGCCTTATGGACACACTCCCGCACCTGGCCGGATACTGCAAAGTCGCGGCTAACTAGCGTGAGCGGCTTCGTGTTGTCAGTATTTCTCCGACTGAGTGTAGACACCTCGAAATGCTTGACCTCAGCTACCTACACGTCCCTTCTCCATCTACTCTGTATTTTTTTACCCTGATGTTTCAAATGCTATTAAACTTTGCAGTCGTAGAGCAGTGAAGCATCAATGTAAACACGTGTTGCTTTTTCTGGTGATAACAATGGTGATGACAATGGAAACATTTTGAAAAAATGGGTAACTTATTGGCTGGTGCCGCAATGTTTAACGAAGCCGTATGCCTCAGTCAAACCGCAACACCACCAACTTTCACTAATTTTCAGGAGAAGGTCCGCTAAAGAAGTTTGAAAAGCAGTCTCTCCTTCATATTCGAATGCAATCAGGGCACATGATGCAGCGTTCAGCTGTAGCGCCCTTCCGGTGCCTAGCTTCCATGCCACCCGAAGGAAGCACGAGGGCTGGCATACTGCCAGGTTGCCCAAGCCTAGACAGGGGAAGTCGAGTGGCAGTCGGATTCGAACCACGGACCTTTCGGTCAGTAAATTCGCGCTCTAACCACTTGGGCCATCTCGCACATGATGCAACCAGAAGTCGAATTATGAGGATAGTTAGAGTCTATCTCTGTGCCAGATTTTCGTTCTATACTCATGGATAATGCTTAGCGCAATCGAGAACGAAATACGGCTCTATCCTACAGGACGTATTGCCTCGGACTTGATGGGTGCGGGTGTGGCTTCCATGTCTGGTTCGGGTGGCTAGGGCAAACTCGGCCTTCCGTAGAGCGCAACAGTGAGGAAGTTTCAGTGGGACCCATGCCAACTTCATACCAGATGGGACCGGGTCGGCACAAAGTTGGATTCTGTTGCCGATTGGATCCTGACTCCTGACAACTCCTAGTCAACACAACCAAGGAAAAAACCCTACATAAGCGTATCCATAGCGGCGCCCGAACCATTCGCCGCTTCACTATAGGACAGAAAAATCTCATTCTTAGTAGTCACAAATATCATAACCAAAAACAAAACATTGAATACCGGTGCCTAATAGCGTCCAACACAACGCTGAGCTAGATATGCCGTTTGAGTGAAAAGCATGATAAACAAACTTTCCCACCTAGTATCCTTTAGCCGAGCGTTTGGAAGATATTCCCACTCACCATGTCTAAATCCGACAGAGCCTCTTTGAACTTCTCGAGCGCCATATACACCATTGCACGACGATAATATCCCTGAAATCAGGTTCGATCAATAATTCCGAGTACCTTAACGTACGAACCATCGAGCTCTATGGCCTTGGTGGCATCCTCGAGTGCGTATCCAAAGCATTCTGTCCGGAGGTAAGCAAGACTGCGATTCGAGAAATATATTGCCGACTCCTTTAGCTGCAGTGCTTTTGTATAATTTTCTATCGCCTTATCATATTCTCCATCTGAAAGGGCAGCAGATAAATAGACTACAACACGTGAATACACAATACCTTTGAAGAATTTGTTTGCTTCTTCTTTGAAAGCGTCAGCTTTTTCAGCGGTTTCCACTAACGCCATCGAACTGCAGTGTAGGTGAAGAACGCAAAGAGGATGAGACGTCTTTGGGGAACCTAGCCCTCTTATTGGTTGACAATTTTGCCGCTTCGCCCTTGACCTTCAGATGGACACTGGCTTACGGACTCACGGACTCACGGATTGATACACAGGATCGAGGCTTTTGCCGAAGTTTTCCTGGTCAGTTTTATTCTTGTCGGTTGGTGGCTGTCGTTCGTCTGAAAGGCACAAGTGAAAAAAGGGTGTAGCAGTGCTCTTTATGTTCTCAGCGCGGAGCAGTATGCTCGCCAGCGCTAGGGCTCGCATAAATAAATGGCTCCCAGGTTCGCGGATTGATACACAGGATGCAGGCTTTCCCCCAGGCTTCCTGGGTGCAGTTTGCTCGATGATGATGTGTTAGAGATGGCCTGAGGTAAACGGGTCATTTCGGTATCCAGACCACAGCGTATATATTACATATTGTATTACAGTTCCTGCAGCGAGTTAAACAGCTGATTAGAATCTCTCGTAAGAAAACACTGGTTTTTCAAGATTATTGAACTGTAGAAACCTCACCTTCATACAACCTTCACTCACGAACGTCATATCCACAACTGTATGCGATGCCGCTTATCTTTGCTACCTAACACCAGGTCAGTATCTAGGCGGGCCGGTAAAACCAAGACCTAAACCGTGCGTAATAACCCGATCTGACGCCCCGCTATACTCACAACCGTACTCTAGCTTGACTATTTATCGTATCTGTTAGGTCCTTGTCCATGTGCAACGGTGACTATGGAGAGCTTATTAGGCGTGGTATCCGAATCCAGCCTAACCCGCCATGTTCACGCTGTACGTGGTGTTGCTTTTCTTCGCTGTTGCTGATGAATACCAGGCCAATGTTTATGCAAACCGATGAAGACTAGGCCTCAACTATGCACACAAACGTTATCTAACGGCGAACGACGAACGTCATACTTATAACTGTACGCAATGTTGCCTACCTTGGCTAATGTTTGTAACTGCTAGGCTAGTGCCTGTATGTAACACCGATAATTAAGCCTCAGGTGTGCGCGGTATCCTAATCTAACGGCCAGCGGCAACCCGACATGCCCATAACTGTGCGCGCTGTCGCTTGTACCACTTATCACCCATAGTAAACACCAGGCCAATATCTGTGCGGGCCAATAAAAATGAGACCTTCATTATGCGCGATATCCTAATTTAGTGGCAAACGAGGGCCCATCGTCCTCATAACTGTAGTCGATGTCACATACCGTGGCTACCTATAGTAACTGCAGGGCCCGTACACATACTCGCAGCCGACTATAATGTTCCGGCTATACATGATAGACTTATCCAACGACCGGTGGCGGTCCTCGTCTATCAAAACACAATCAGTTCGAATGTAAATAAAACGCTGCCTGTCCTTGGACCGTAAGCGGCGGGCTCGATGATCGCAAATCCAGGGGCAATGGTGACCATATTTCTTACATCCCCTTCCTCTCCTGGATTTTGGGAACCGAAAAATCACCTAATAAATTTCAAATAAAGTAGTCTATCACCTCGGAATTCCTACTCCTCTCAGTACTTATGTGTTTGACCTCTCTAACCATATCAAATCTGCGTGCTTATACCGGTTTGCTCTAGACCTCCTATACTATAATATAATATATATTTGCAAAATCACCCCGTGCTTGACCTCTTGTCCACCAAGTACAACTTTACCACCACCCTGTCTAAGTTATTCACTTGTTGTCACCAACCTAAATGTGATAAAGTTGTCGCTTTTTCTCTGTATTCAGTTATTTAATCCTGTCGACTCGTTTGACTTCCGTCAGCTCCACCCGGCTTGTGGTCTGCATACATTACGATCGCCAACCGGACCAGAAGAATACATGGTATCTTTCACCGGGTTCGTTATACCTCTGCGGATTCCTTTGGCTAACTCAAAAACCCCGCTGCTCACAGAATTGCTCATCCTAGCCTAAGCATTTCAAACATGACATCCGTTATGAGGCTATCCAGAACCGAAGTATGTCAGTGCAATGATGGCACTGCACCGTCATACCCAGTTTGATAGCACACCTGCAACTATTCAGTTCCTACTCTTGATTGTACACTCTCGCCAACTCGTTCCACCACTGCGACTGGGAGCAAACTCATACTAGGGCTACGGCGAATGATAACGACGGATAAATTTGCTCACCTCGAATAGTCATCGTAATTGTTATGTGCAACGCTGGTTATGAGGCCTCCCCTATGCACGGTAACTTAAGTCAATGGTTAGCGATGGCCCTTCATACTGTGCGTGTTGACAATGCGCCCGCCATAAATCCACGAAAACACCGTTGGCGAGTTGCTAATTGGATTTTGTCTGCTTACTTACCTAGTGGTTTATAATTCCCGTCTCATACTTGGGCCTGAGCCATCTGGTTTGCTTGGAGACATTCTGGTTGGCGCGGTTCAGGACCTCGGCGTGATGCACGCGCCTATTCACATGCCTCTTTGTCGTTCTCCGAGAGGTTGTTGGTCACATTCCCAAAACGTACCAACCCACACTGTGCATGAATGGCCAGTTTCGAGTGATGCAAAACCAGTGGGCAGTAAAATGAGAGGCAAACCCAGGGATGGTTCTCCGCAGGATCTATAACTAGTGACGAAACCTACGCGATTAAGGTTTGGAGCACTGCCACCTACTCAGTCGCGTTAACGGAGCGAGTCATTGGGTGGAATATGTGCCGGTTGCTGTTGAAAATCGTCAGAAAAGTTACAACAGTGCATGCATTGCTTGTGGATGGCTTACCGTGCGTGAAAATAGCACAGCATTATATCGCAGCCGAACACAGATTTGGCAGCCCGCATCTGCAAAGTCATTTTTTCATGACGAGATGCTTCCACTGAATATTGTCCACCCATCATATCCTTGAACGAGCAGAATAGCTTGCGCAAAGGCACAAGACGCTAACTTTCAAAAAATTCATACATTACGGGTCGACCTATGCCCCTGCTATCCATCTACCCTAACAGTGAACGTCAAAGGCTTTAAAATTATTTACCTAAAACGGTTGGTGACGCGCATAGGATCAGTGCTTACTATGTCAGGGAAACTTCAAAAGAGTGAGGTCTGCTGTGGCTAAAAGTACCACCCTCTGATTACACCAACAGTACGCGATCACAGTCTCAAGGCTCGGCTATGATCGATGACATAATCTGAGAAACAAATTAAAAGGTACCCACCGACCTACTCAACAACGGATGTCGGTATCTGACACGATAATTGTTCACATCCCTGATAGTTAGTACCTCCTCCAAAATGCTCAGTGAGGTAATGCCGAATCTCCGACGACGGAGCACCCTTCTTCAAAAGGGTACTGCACTCCTTTATTTCGTCATTTGTACGGCGCGGGTTGATTGGTGGTCAGCCATGCTGCTTTGAAAATATGAATTATGTGCCCATGATGAGCCTCGAGTGGGTTTAGACAGCTTTTAACAAAACTGCGGCCGCGTAGAGAGATCGTAAGGGCGAAAATAAATACGATCAAATGCTAAAACTTTGTGTTAAAGTTTCCATTTTCGAACCACGGTTTCAGGGGGATTTTGGCTGTGCGTCTAGGACGCAGCCTCACGCAATCAGTGAACCTTCTAAACTAAGTCTCCGGCCGTTGTGAAGGTCAAGTGATACAGCTTTTGAAAGGATCTCTATTAGAAAAGAAATGTAAGAATAGTCTGTCGCGACGTTAACTTAGTGACGTTAGCATGGAAATCAACGCGTTTTCCTGGAAAGACCACATGTGATTGGTCAAGTTGTCCGTTTTTTGACAATCCTGTTAGCGCACCGAATATGATCAGCGTTGCCAAGCCCAATAACAGCATGCATGAAACTGTAACGGGCTCTAGAACGCTGGATGTATGACAGCTTTAGGACTGTGAAGGTTGTTCATCTCCTTGTCGTGTTAAATCAAAATCAAAATCAGCAGTGGATGACCTAGAACGGTTGAGCTGATGGCCATAGTAAAGATGACCAGGGATAGTTAACCTGGTGTGTTCGCAGTTAGGTGATGCGGCAGCCCGCAGCCCGTAATTACGGTCAGTTACGAAACTCTGTGAAAGTTCACTGGTTTTGTTGTTACAGAGGGATTGATGGTAAACGTTCTTTGGCAAGCAGTTTTCCTAACGAGAGAGCTGCGTCAAAAATTACCGAGTTTGTGGTCAGAACAGCCAAGAATATCGTGGAACTTCTATTTACGCTGGTCCCATATCATGGTTCGGAGGGTCAGAACCAAGACCTTGAGCCTGTTGGGTAGAAGTGAACAGTTTGTTCAAGCCTACAAATATATGCGCGAGATGGCAGAAGAGATTTTGTCTGTGCTGCGCAGAAATATCTAAGGATGTGCAATCAGGATGAGACTAGCAACATCGTGTCATTAATAAATTGNCCACTGAATATTGTCCACCCATCATATCCTTGAACGAGCAGAATAGCTTGCGCAAAGGCACAAGACGCTAACTTTCAAAAAATTCATACATTACGGGTCGACCTATGCCCCTGCTATCCATCTACCCTAACAGTGAACGTCAAAGGCTTTAAAATTATTTACCTAAAACGGTTGGTGACGCGCATAGGATCAGTGCTTACTATGTCAGGGAAACTTCAAAAGAGTGAGGTCTGCTGTGGCTAAAAGTACCACCCTCTGATTACACCAACAGTACGCGATCACAGTCTCAAGGCTCGGCTATGATCGATGACATATAATCTGAGAAACAAATTAAAAGGTACCCACCGACCTACTCAACAACGGATGTCGGTATCTGACACGATAATTGTTCACATCCCTGATAGTTAGTACCTCCTCCAAAATGCTCAGTGAGGTAATGCCGAATCTCCGACGACGGAGCACCCTTCTTCAAAAGGGTACTGCACTCCTTTATTTCGTCATTTGTACGGCGCGGGTTGATTGGTGGTCAGCCATGCTGCTTTGAAAATATGAATTATGTGCCCATGATGAGCCTCGAGTGGGTTTAGACAGCTTTTAACAAAACTGCGGCCGCGTAGAGAGATCGTAAGGGCGAAAATAAATACGATCAAATGCTAAAACTTTGTGTTAAAGTTTCCATTTTCGAACCACGGTTTCAGGGGGATTTTGGCTGTGCGTCTAGGACGCAGCCTCACGCAATCAGTGAACCTTCTAAACTAAGTCTCCGGCCGTTGTGAAGGTCAAGTGATACAGCTTTTGAAAGGATCTCTATTAGAAAAGAAATGTAAGAATAGTCTGTCGCGACGTTAACTTAGTGACGTTAGCATGGAAATCAACGCGTTTTCCTGG